AAAACACACCTGAAGAGAGAGGAAGGGATGGGATCAGCCCTTGGTGGGCACTAAACTCAAAGACAGATACAGGGAGTCCTCGGCTTACGACCACAATTAAGCCCAACATTTCTGTTGCTAAGTGAGACAGTTGTTAATTAGGTTTTGTCCCATTCTACGACCTTTCTTGTCATAGTTGATAAGTGAATCACTACAGTTGTTCAGTTTGTAACACAGTTTCCCCATTGACTTTCCTTGTCAGAAGGCCGCAAAAGGGGATCACATGACCGTCGTAAATATGACCCTGTGACCGTCGTAAATATGAACCAGTTGCCAAGCCTGTGAATTTTGATCATGTGACCACAAGGATGCTGCAATGGTCATGGGAAAAACGGTCGTAAGTCACTTTTGTCAATGCCACTGAAACTTTGAACAGTCACGAAACAAACTGCTCTTTAAGTCCAAGACTACCTGTACCGTCTTTGACAAAAAACAAACAAAAATATTGAGTGATGTTCACAAATGAAAGGAATTTAAGGGTCCTTGGTGCTTTCTGAGCTTGGCTGGTTTCTTGCAGATATTTCATTACCCAAACTAGGTAGCCACATCAGTCATCATCACTCTGATGAGGTCACCTAGTTTGGTAATGAAACGTCTGCAAGAAAACAACCAAGCTCAGAGACCACCTCATTTCAACCCTGAGCTACAAATATTCTCCTTTATCAGAAGGGGATTTATTCTTCAAGAAATATTAAATGGAGGCAAGAAGATTCAAAGTGCTACCATCTGGATTCTTCATATTATGAGCATTGGCAAAGGGTTTCAGGGTTCAAATATACCCTAGATTACAGGGGTAGGCAACCTTGGCTCTTTTATGACTCGTGGACTTCAACTCCCAGAATTCCTGAGCCAGCCATGCTGAGGGGAAAGGGAGAGTTTCCAAGCTGAGCCATGCTGGCTCAGGAATTCTGGGAGTTGAAGTCCACGAGTCATAAAAGAACCAAGGTTGCCTACCCCTGTCCTAGATAGTCCCAAAGGTGCTTTTTCAAGGAGGCAAGTGGACTTTATTGTTTCTCTTTGAAGACGTTTCGCTTCTCATCCAAGAAGCTTCTTCGGCTCTGACTGGATGATGGGGGAATGGAAGGATTTATACTCCTTGCAGACAGCTGGTCATTTGCATTCTTTGAGGGAGTCGTTGAGGCCACCTGCAGGCTTATCTGTGTCGTCAGGGTCACCTGAGTAGTGCAAATGGGTGTGGAGCCTTCTTGGAATTGTTGAAAGGACTCTGCTGAAAGTCCACATTTTGGACAGAGAGGACCGCTGGTTTGAAAGAGGGGTCAAAGAGGCCATCTATGTCAGAATTGAGCAGCCCTCTCTCAACAAAGGGGACGGATATGACATCATCTATCTCCAGTCTACAACAAAGTCCTTTCAGCAGTTCCAAGAAGGCTCCACATCCATTTGCACTACTCGGGTGACCCTGAGTATAAATCCTTCCATTCCCCACCATCCAGTCAGAGCTGAAGAAGCTTCTTGGATGAGAAGCAAAACGTCTTCAAAGAGAAACAAGGAATCCAGTTGCCTCTCGAAAAAGCACCTTTGGGACAACCATGACCTGGATGACTGAGAATCTCCACAGACATACCCTAGGTAGGTCCAGCTATGAACTGCAATGGATGCTTCATTTTTTTTCCCCGGTTGAGAAATGGAAGAGGATTCCCCTGGACTGAACCGTCCATTTCTGAATGATTTGTGGGGGAAAAAAAATCTCAATCCAATATGGGGTCTTGAAGATCCCGCACCTCTTTCTTGAAATGACAAAAATCAGAGGTCTCTTGTGAACTAAATTAATTAGGTCAGCAGTAGAAGCTTGAGCTGAGGCATCAGGAATTTTGAAAATATGTCATGGGCACACTCAAAAAATGACTGCTCTGGCACCAGGGCCAGCCAAAGGCAAATGATAGACGCCGCTCCCCAACAGCCTTTCAGTTAAGGCAGTGTTTCTCAACCTTGACAATTTTAAGGCTGGCTGTGGAATTCTGGGAGTTGAAGTCCACATGCCTTAAAATTGTCAAGGTTGAGAAACACTGAGTTAAGGGAATAAAGCAGCCATTAAGTTAGGGGTCCTCAAATTTGGCCACTTTAAGACTTGTGGACTTCAACTCCCAGAATTCCCCAGCCAGCATGGCTGGCTGGGGAATTCTGGGAGTTGAAGTCCACAAGTCTTAAAGTGGCCAAGTTTGAGGACCCCTGCATTAAGCGAATCTGTCTTTCCCCACCGACTTTGCCTGTTGGAATTTGGCTGGGAAGGTCACCAACGGTATTCACATAAACCTGGGACGTTGCCACTGTTGTATGTAAATAAGCAACTGGATCTTGATCACATGATTGTGAGGATGCAGCAGTGGTTGCAACTGCGAGGAGCGATTCTATGTTTTTCAGTGCCATTTTGGTTGCTAAACAAATAGTTGTACCTGTAATAATTGTCACCATTCCCCCTCCTGCCCTCCAGTTAACCTAGCTTAATGGAAGTGATGGTTTTAACCAGGGCTTTTTTTTTCTCACAGAATGCCCAGAACGGAGTTCCGGCATCTTTTTTGGATGGAACCTTGTAGGGTAGGCAAGGCGGGCTGTATGACGTGTGTGAGTTCCGGCACCTTTTTTTTTTTTTTTTTTTTTTTAAGAAAAAAAGCACTGGTTTTAACACTGCAGAGAGTCAGAGCTGACTTTCAGTAAAATTATATATTGAAAAAACACTGCGGAGGGTATCAAACTGAAGAAATCTGGGATGCATAACGTCAGTGTTCATGACGCCTTACTAGTCCATGTAAAAGCAAGCTCAACTCCTGTCTGTGGAGAGATACTCAGTCCTCCATGGTTGTCCCAAAGGTGCTTTTTCAAAAGGCAACTGAACTCATCTGAGAAGGTTTTTTTTTCCAAGGGTGACTGCAAAGAATATAAATCCTTCCATTCTCCATCATTTAGTCAGAACTGAAGAAGCTTCTTGGATGATGATGATGATAAGAGTAATAATAATAATAGAGTTGGAAGGGACCTTGGAGGTCTTCTAGTCCAACCCCCTGCTCAAGTAGGAGATCCTATACCATTTCAGACACGTGACTGTCCAGTCTCTTCTTAAAAACCTCCAATGATGGGTCACCCACAACTTCTGGAGGCAAGCTGTTCCACTGATTAATTGTTCTAACTGTCAGGAAATTTCTCCTTAGTTCTAGGTTGCTTCTTTCCTTGATTAGTTTCCATCCATTGCTTCTTCAGGTGCTTTGGAGAATAGCTTGACTCCCTCTTCTTTGGGGAAGCCCCTGAGATATTGGAACGCTGCTATTTTGTCCCCCCTCATCCTTCTCTTCATTAGACTAGACATACCCAATTCCAGCAACCGTTCCTCATATGTTTTAGCCTCCAGTCCTCTGATCACAAGATGAGAAGTGAAATGCCTTCAAGGAAGAACAAAGAAAGTCCAGCTGCCTTTTGAAAAAGCACCTTTGAATCAACTCCTGACAATTTCATGGATGTGACCATGTTGTTGTCTTGGCAACAGTAGGGAAATGTTTGACACAAGATGTGCTTTTATCTTCTCAGTTTAGCTTACAACTCTGGGATTTCCAGCAGTGTCCAGTAGAGTACTCATCAATTCTGACCCTCTTTAGCTACTTGAGTGTCAGCCATGGGCGATAAATGTTGTATTGTAGGTGGATACTACAAGTATGAACTCCCCTCAAGTTTCTCAGATGTTTAGGCTGAGGAGAAACACACGAATGCCCGCCAAACAGGTCTGAAATGTTGCTTTCTGTTGAAATTGGGTGAAATCCCAAATAAAACAACCTAAATAGGTCATGGAAGCTTCTAGACACACAAGGTAAGACCTTAAACAATGGCATCCTCAAAGAAGATGGCATAAGTGTATAAATTGCAGGTACAGGTAGTCCTCGACTTATGACCACAATTGAGCCCAAAATTTAAGCAGGATGTTTGTTAAGTGAATTTTGCCCCATTTTAATGATCTTTCTTGTGACCGTTGTTAAGCGAATTATTGCAGCTGCTAAGTTAGTAACACGGTTGTTAAGTGAATCCGGCTTCCCCCATTGTCTTTGCTGGTCAGAAGGTCACAAAAGGGGATCATGTGACCCCGGGACGCTGTAGCCGTCATAAATATGAGTCAGTGGCCAAGCGTCTGAAATTTGACCATGTGACTGTGGGGATGCTACCGTGGTCATAAGGGTGAAAAACAGTCATTAGTCACTTTTTTTCAGTGCCGTTGTAATGTCATTAAATGAACTGTTATAAGTCCAGGTCTACCTGTATTGTCATTGTAATTTCACATCAGACCCTTCCATCCTGGTCAATTTATTACATTTTCCTTTCCTCCTTACCAACATTTCTGAATTCTCCTAAATCCACTGATAATCGTCATTTGAGGTATTTTCAAACATGTTCTTAAAAGTGCAGGAAAAAAAAAGTGACGGGACAGACAAACACATACGTGCAGAGAACATGACATGAGCCACCGTCTTCGCCTCTTTCCCCTGAACTTAACAAGACAAAAAAGTACAGAAATAAAGCAATTAAAAACCAGATAGAAGTGATAAAAAGAGAGAGAGAACAGACTCGACGTATGAGGTAATCTTTCACATCTCGGAAAAGTCATTTTACACACAGCAGTTCAGCCATTTAAAGCCAGCAGAAGACAATCCGTGGTCAAAGGACTGGAAAGCAGAAAGAGATGGGATGGAAAATTAAGGCTTCCTTGTGGAATTTAATCTGAATTCCTTTGGTGCTCTCCTCCTTAGCGTAGCCGAAGGACTCCATGTCTTTCTTTTTTTTTTTTTTAACTCTCTTCCCCAAAGTGGTTCGACTTGTAGTTTAGGCCTCAAATGAGATCCGAGAATGGAGATGAAGGTATATCACAGATCACGGTCTGTCTTTCTGCACCATGACACTGCTTGGAGGCAGTTCCTGAGTAAAGGAGATTGTTTCTTCGTTTGAGAATTAACAAGGAATTGCTACCCAAAGCGAAATTTGAGTCTGTACTTGATGGGTTTCTTCTGAGGTACTTTGGGCTTGGCTGGAAGAGCCACCACCGGTGGTCTTCTCTTCTCAGGGACGGCTACCGTAAAAGAAAGTTCTGGTGGTTCGGTTTGTTTGAACCGCGGAAGGAAATGAGTGGAGACATGCTGGGGTTTTACTCGCGGGCTGCACCCACGCTTGGCTTTCCCTCTCTTGTTCAAAGCCACGTACCACTCTCTTCCGGTTTTGCCCGTCCGGTGGACCGCCGAGGAGTAGGTGTTATAGCTGTTTTCTTGAAACCGCTCCCTGAACTTGCAGTCATCGGTGAATTTGGCCTGAAAAAAAAGAAAAAAAAAGCAGGTATTGACAAAAAGGAAATTAATTTGCATTAGCATTAAATCTCATTACATGTCCCTCTACTTCAGGGGTAGGCCACCTTGGCTCTTTGATTACTCATGGACTTCAACTCCCAGAATTCCTGAGCCAGACATGCTGAGGGGAAAGGGAGAGGTTTCCAAGCTGAGCCATGCTGGCTCAGGAATTCTGGGAGTTGAAGTCCACGAGTCATAAAAGAGCCAAGGTTGCCTATCCCTGCTCTACTTTCTTTCATCTATTAGTGGCACTTCCAGAGCATCCCCTTCCAACTCAAATAACCAAACCTGATATCTTATTTTCTTCTGTTTTGCTTTATGAAACTAAACAAAAAAAAAAAGGTTCAGGACCTCGTTTTTCAACAATTTGTTTAGTGACCGTTCAAAGTTACACTGGCATTGTAAAAAAGTGATTTATGACCATTTTTCACACATACGACCGTTGCAGAATCCCCATGGAGATTTTTAAGACTGCACAATCACCTGTCCGGGATGGTGTAGGTTCTCCTGCTTGAGCAAGGGGCTGGACTAATAATAATAATAATAATGATAAAGTTGGAAGGGACCTTGGAGGTCATCTAGTCCAACCCCCTGCTCAGGCAGGAAACCCTATACCATTTCGGACAAATGGCTGTCCAGTTTCTTCTTAAAAACTTCCAGTGTTGGCGCATTCACCGCTTCTGGAGGCAGGTTGTTCCACTGGTTAATTGTTCTAACTGTCAGGAAGT